AATAATAATAATAATAATTAATTATATATTAACATTACAATATTTTTATTAATTGAAATAGCAATTATATAACAAAGCAAATTTAGAATTAAATGAACTTAATGAAAACCTTTCATCTCCATTGCAAACATCAACTGTACTAGAAAAAGAGGTAATTCTTTGATTTAAGATTTCCAAAAATAATATAATCAAATAATAATTTTGTGTTTTTTTTTTGAAAGGTTTTAATTAGAGAAAAGTTAAATAAAGAATTGGAAAAATTAAGGAATGAATCAGTAATTACAGAGAGTAATTTAAGAATGGAGGTGATTAATTATTCAGCTAATATTAATAATTATTTTTAAAAATATTTCTAAAAATAATTTTTTTTAGATTAATGAATTGAGATCAACTTTATCAAAAGTTGAAGAACAATCAGGATTAAGAGAGGACAATTTACGCCAAGAAATTTTGGTAATAATAAAGTATTAAAATAAGACTTTGAATATAATAGTAGCAGTAGTGATGATTATTATTATTATTAATAAAAACTTATCTAATTATTGTTAACATGTTATTCTAGGGATTACAAAAGAAATTACAAATAACGGAGATTTCTTTAGAAGATTCAACAGCAGAAGAATGGAACATTGAAAAAATTCAAGTATTGAGACAAATTGAAAATTTGCATACTCAACATACAAGATCATTAAAAAATTGGGAAATAATAGAATCAAAGTAATCAATAATAATGATAATATAATTAATGTTTTTTGTAAACATATTACAATATATCTCATTATATATTATATAAATATATTTTTAAGCCTTACATCAAGGTTAAATGAAATAGAAGCAAGCCGTCGACAATATAAAGAGAAATATGATGAATTGAATTCAGAACTTAAAGAAATGGTAAAATATATAATTTTATTAATTTAATAATAATAACTCATTATATACTTATTTACTAATTATTTATCAATTACCATCATTCATCATACTGATGTGAAAGTCTACAAAATTTCAACAACAAGAATTAGCATTAATATTAGAACGTTCCCAAAATTCTAAATTATTAACAGAATTAGATTATTTGAAATCTAAACAAGTTCCAAAATTAGAATTACAAATTCAAGAACTTACTGCTAAAATTGGTTCAATTCAAGTTGAAAAGGATAATCTGTTCAAAGAGACTAAAGAGAAATATGATGAAGCAATGAAAAAACTATCTGAAGAATTCGAGAAAAGATTAAAATATGAGCAAGATTTAAGGCTATTCAAAGAACAGCAACAAGATGGTAATAAAAAAAGAATTAAATTTGATACAATTAGAAGAAATAATATTTCACAGACTTCATTTAAATCAATCGGTGAACCTAATTCAGACAATTATAATAATTGTGATGATAATAATAATAATAATGGTAACAATGATAGTAGTAATAATTTAATATATTCACCTTTATCACCAATATTATGTAGCCCAAGCTCAAGTACCAGAACAAGTATTGATGGTATAAGTATTAATGGTCTACTTGGTATTTTCGGTAATAATAATAATAATAATAGTAATAGTAATAATAGCAGCAGTAGCAGCAGTAATATTTTGTTGATTGACAAGTTGAATTTATCCGTCAAGTATTTAGAAAGTCAAGTCAACACATTACAATCTCAATTAAATATTGCTACTAGGAATAGAGGTCTGTAATTATTTGGCGAAATTATTATCATTGATGATTATTTCATTAACCAACAAATTTATTATTATCATTATTTAGATGAATTGGCAAATGAATTGGTAAAATTGACTGTTCAATTAGAAGAAATGTATGTATAAAATAAATTTTTATGATGAAATATTTATACATGCATACATATATGTATCTCATACATATATCGATTTTAGGACAATTAAAAGTGAAAGATTAACAGAAGTAGAAGATCAATTCTTCAAATTGAATGAAAGGTACTTGAATTTTTTACTGTGATTAATAATCAATCAATATATTTATTTATTTATTCTTTCTTTGTTTATTGCTTTAGTTATAATGCTGCTTTAGAAATGTTGGGAGAGAAAACAGAAAAGGTAGAAGAGCTGCAAGATATTATTGATGATATGAGAGATGTTTATAAAAATCAAATCACAGAATTAGCATCCGAAGTAGAAAAATATACAAATAAATCAAATGAACAGATTAATAATTAATTATTATTATTTAATTCTTTGCAATTTTTATTTATATATCTTTAGATATATATTTAACTTAGTTGTACTATTACTATGTATATATAATTTGAATTTTTTTTTTTTAATCAAGACTCTTAAATCACATAATAATGCGCAAACGGCGGCATATTAATTACATAATGTTACACTTGCATCAATACCAAGAAATTTATTTTTAAGTTGAAACATAACTTTTTATTTATAGAAATAATAACACAAATAAGTTCTTGTATATACAACACGATCTATTGTTTTATTATTTTGTTTTAATAAATATAACTTGATAACTTTTTTTACATTTTCCAAAATACCTTCAGCTAAAAGTCCAGTAATTTGGTCTTCTTTTTCTGATAAAAGATTACGTTGATATTCAAGTAAATCTTGTGTTGATGAAGAGTCCTCTGAATTAGAAATTTTTTGTCTCACTGTATTCAACTCTAAATTAGATTTTTGTAATTGATTTTCTAGTCGATCAATTCTTTCTTGTGAAATCTTTGATTCTGCAGCTTTAAGTTCTTCCAAGTCTTTTAATTGTAATTTTAATTGTTCCAATGAATCATTTAGCATGGCATTTTGTTCAATTGCACTCATTAATTGACGTTCACGTTGTTCAACCAAATGTTGAAGATCATTAACTGATGATGATATAGATTTTTCACTAAAATTTGCCTCCGTAGTAACTATTGATTTATTTTTATTAAAATTACCATTACCAATATCATTATTAACATCATTATTAATGTTATCATCATCATCATCATTATTATCATTACTATTATTGGACAACGAATTCCTTAATTCATCTTTATTCTTCAACTCCTTCTCTTCTTCCTCTTTCTCTTCTTTCTCCACATAATCATCGTCTGTGGTAATGGAATTATTAGAAGAATGATTTATACCATTCTCTTCAATGTCTCTTTCTAATATATTTTCACTATTACCATTAATATCATTTTTTAAATCTAAATTAATTTGATCACTTTCGCTGGATTGCAATGAAATGCTTCTTCTGTCGACTTCACTAGAAACACGCGGCGTAATATTTCTACTACTATTATTACTACCAACTACTCTGATAGCATAATTACTATTACTACGAATATGTGATAACAATTCATTACTTTTTGATTTTAGGATTGAACCTGTAAAATCTGTGGTTGTAGATGATGTGGTTGTGGTAAATGTCTTTGGATTTAATTTTGGTGATGATGATGATGATGATGGAGGCGTTGATGATGGAGGCGTTGATGATGATGATTCTTTATTTTTATAATTAATTAGTGATGATGTAGATGAGAATGTTAGTGATGACGATGATGATGTTGATGTTAATGGTGGCGGCGTGGGTGGTTTGGGTGTTGGCGGTTTTGGAGGTGGCAGATCAATTGGACTAACAAACCCTGTTATTGGGTCTATGTAAACATCTTGATAATTATTTCCTAAACATTTCAATGGATGAATAATTAATTAATCAATTAATCAAAAAAAGAATTTTTTCTTTCTTCTGGAAAAGAAACTTTTTTATGAACAAATATACCATTATCGTTTCCTTGAATTACAAAAGCTTTATCAAGTTTACTCTCAACACTATTCATTGCTTGTTTAAACATATTACCCCAACTACTACCATTGCCGCTACTATTATCACCATTACCATTTGATGCATTACCATTTCTTGAGGAATTGAAAAAACTCATTTTCTTTTTCCTTTATCTTTTCTTTTAAAAAAATCGCTTTTTTAGTTTTTTATTTTATTGCTATTTATATATATATATAGTTTAAAATAAAAACCCAAATATAAATATAAATATAAAGTTTATGAATATTTGTTACACAAAAAACCATGCTCACTAATCAATTATTTAAATAATATTTGAACTTGAAAGATTTTAAATCTTTTGTCTTTTATAATCTTTCACTTAACCCTTTATTAATTTTGATTGAGACTCAAATAGATACCACTTGTAGTATATATAAATTGAAATTTGTATCACTAAAGTTGGACATTAAAACTTATTTATTATTTATATATAAAAAAGAACTACAATTTTTGAATTATTTCAAGGTAATTTTGTTTAGTGTAAAGAAAAGAAAAAATGTCTGGAAGAAATCAACCATACAATAACCAATATACTTATGATCCCAAGCTTTATGCAGACCTTTCTTCACAACGACCAAATCAACGTCAACAACAACAACAATATTTTAATAATAATAATACAAATTATCCAACGACAGATAATTACTATTATCATCAACCACCTAAAGGTCCAGCATCAACTTCAAATATGTCAATTACATCTAGAACAACAGTAGAAGCATTGCCATCAGTTATAAGTCATTCTACTACGTTCAATAATAATAATAATAGCTTTTTTTCGCCAGCTAAACTAAATAATAGTGGTAGTGGAGTTGGGAAAAATAATTATAATCAAAGACATTATAGCTCAATGAAAGATGAAAAAAATTGAATTGGTAGACCAAAATAATAATAATGATGATGCTAATAATATTAATAATAATAATAATAGTGGTAGTAAAAACCAGAATTCTAAAAAGAAACAAAAACCAATTATTAGAGCAGCAGGAGGAGAAGTTTGGGAGGATTCTACATTGTTAGAATGGGATTCAAGTAAGTAGACAAATTCTTTTCATACATTTGTGAGAATACTATAAAATCACTGGATTATAATATTGTATTAACAAACAATGATATTTATTATATCAATGCTCATGAATTTAAATAAAACTTGTCATAATAGATGATTATAGATTATTTTGTGGAGATCTTGGTAATGAGGTGACAGATGATATGCTTTACAAAGCATTTAGTAAATATTCATCCATCCAAAAAGCCAAAGTGATTCGAGACAAACGAACAGGTAAGAGTAAAGGATACGGATTTGTAAGTTTTAAAGATGCTGATGAATTTGTTAAAGCATGGAAAGAAATGAATGGTAAGTTTATTATGTTATTGTGAGAAATGCTCTTTATTTACAATTAAAAATAAATAGTAATAATAATAATAAAATTTCTATTAACTGATCAATCAAGGTAAATATGTTGGAAATAGGCCGATTAAGTTAAGGAAAAGTAACTGGAAAGATAGAAATTTTGATGCAAAATCAAAAAAACATCATCCTTATTAATAATTATGAATAAATAAAAAATATTGATCTATTACCATTATCTGAACTCTAACAGTATCCGACCCGAAAGTAATAAATGACATCCGATATTTGATTTGAAACTATTAAAAACAATCCAGATACCCAATATCTGAATTTAAATCCAAATGCCTTAGTGTAAAGATTAACCATTTGACTATATTCGAATGAATATTCAGATATTCATCATAACAAAAGTCGTGCACGTGTTTAAACAATATTTTTATTTAAATAATTCGATAAAACGAATAGAGAGCAATTCGAATAAAAACGAATAAAACAGCGAATAATTTGAATAAAACGAATAAAACGAACAAGATTTTGTATTACGAATAAGAACTCTATTCTACTCTTATAAGCAAGGCCCGAAATATTAATTGAACGGTTTATTGATTGTTCTTTCACTTGGTCAAAAAGTGGCGTTAATCTTTTCTTTTAAAGTTAATCTATAATAACAATAATAAAGGTATTAAGAGACTAGGTCACATGTCAGAAGCACAATTGGACGGAAATCATAATATTATAATTAGTAATGACTACACGGTAGCAGATCATTTCTACATTTAAAATTTTATAACGCGTTTTTGTTTTAAAAAAAAAAGTTGCATAAATAAATTACATAATAATAAACGTAAATATTAGTATATAATAATAATATGTCTGAACTTTATTTGAAATTAGAAATACTTGGTGAAGGTGAGAAGGAAAAGAGATTTACACTCTATTAGTCGCAAAGTAATAACAATTAAAGGAATTAAGAAAAAATGATTTTTATAAAAGGAACATATGGTGTTGTTTATAGAGGGAAAGAAATAGCAACAGGGAAAATTGTAGCACTAAAACAAATTAGACTTGATGATGAAGTAGAAGGAATTCCATCAACATCATTAAGAGAGATTTCTTTATTAAAAGAAGCCAGTAGGCATGAAAATATGGTGAAGTGAGTCATTTGTAATAATAATTGTTAATTGCAACAAATTAAAAATAATTTTTTTCTTTTAGATTATTAGATATCGTAAGTCAAGAAAGAAAAATGTTATTAGTATTTGAATATCTTACTAAAGATTTGAAAAAGTATATCAAAGAACATAGATCAGTCAAAGCAGAAATAGATAAGCATACAATTAAGGTGTTATATTTATTTTATGTGTATATATATGATTTATTTATATGCATGCAACATTTACAAATAACCATTTAATATAATCCCATTCGCATTTTATGTTCATATCCAAATATATATTAGAAATTTATGTATCAATTAATTAATGGAACATTATATTTACATACATGTCGAATTTTTCATCGAGATTTAAAACCACATAATTTATTAATTAGTGCAGATGGGAATTTAAAGATAGCAGATTTTGGTTTAGCAAGAGCAACCAGTGTTCCGGTTAAACCCTTTACACATGAAGTATATTACGATTTATCCCAAGATATAAAATCCATTTTTCATTGATTACAACAATTAATTTTTAATGCTTTGCTAAATATATTGTTTTTTTTTTTTTTTTGTGGAAAAAGGTGATAACATTGTATTATAGAGCACCTGAAATCTTACTTGGATCAAGCTATTATGCATATCAAGTAGATATATGGAGCATTGGATGTATTTTTGCTGAAATGTCTAATTTGTTTCCATTATTTCCTGGTAAAATATCAGTTACCATTGCCATCTTATTATTATCATCTTTATAAACTTTTTTGCTCACTTACCCTCATGATACATATGCGTGTTTGTTGTAGGTGACTCTGAGATTGATCAACTTTACAGAATTTTCAGTGTTCTCGGTACTCCAAATAAAATTATTTGGCCAGAAGTCATTTGTTTTCAAGATTATCAAACAGAGTTTCCACAATGGAACCCACAACCTCTTAATAAATATGTTCCAAAAATGGATATACATGCTATTGACTTGCTTCATGTTGGTGTTATTCTTTCTCTTATTTTCAAAAGTATTATATATATATATTAAGCAAATACTAATTTAATTTAAATAATATTAACATTCAATTAAAGAAAATGTTTATGTATGATCCAATAAGGAGAATTTCTGCAAAACAAGCAATTAAACATCCATACTTCCATGGAATTGAATATTTATTAGATCAACCCTTACTAGATAATAGGCAGCAATAATAAATACTGATGCTGATAGATATATTTAAAATATTTAGAATAATAAATTTCAAATTATTTATTTATTCATTTTAAATATAAACATACAATAAATAATAGTAACAAATAAATAATAATGATAATACACATTTAAGAAAGATAACTAAGCAGATAAACGTTCTTTTAATAGAGCTTTTAATTTTGCACCATCTTTTGCAAAATTTCGAATACCATCAGAAAGTTTTTCTGTGGCCATAGCATCTTCATTAAGTGCCCATCTGAAGCCTTTTTCATCAAAAGTAACTTTTTCTTCATACAATGCTTTAGCTAATTATAAATCAATATTAAAAATTATTATACAAGTATATTGACTGATTGATATATATATTATGATATACATGCATCTCTATTACCATAAAATATATATATATATACATATATCAATCATAACTTACCATTTTCAGGACTTAAATTACGTTCAATGGTTTTAGTATCAGAATGTAATTGTTCTAATAATTTTGTATTAATAGTCAAAAAATCACAACCGTTCAGCTCTTCAATCTCCCCTGTGTTACGGAATGAAGCTCCCATAACAATAGTTTTATAACCATGATTTTTATAATAATTGTAAATTCTAATAACAGATTTTACACCTGGATCTTCTTTAGCCGAGAAATCATGTCCTGTACTCTTCTTATACCAATCAAGAATACGACCAACAAATGGTGAAATCAAAGTTGCGCCTGCTTCAGCACATGCAACTGCCTATTATATATGAGAAGAAAAGGGTGAAAAAGTAAATGAGTAAACAATTTTATAAATATGAATAAGCATTGACTAACTAGCTAAATATTTAATAGTAGTAACCTGAGGGAAAGAGAAAAGTAAAGTGAGATTACAATGAATCCCTTCTTTTTCAAGTATTTCGGCAGCTTTGATGCCTTCCCAAGTAGAAGCAATCTTGATTAATACTCTTTCTTTACCAATGCCAACTTCCTTATAAAGCCCAATCAGACGCTTAGCTTTAGCAATAGTTGCTTCAGTGTCAAATGATAAAATCGCATCCACTTCAGTTGAAACTCGTCCAGGAATAATTTTAAGGATTTCATTACCAAAATTAATCAACTGAAATTATATATGTGTAAACAAGTGAGCGATATATATTAAATGTTGTATGTCATATTATCATATTTCTCCTACTTACCAATTTATCTGTTGCTAATTCAACTTTTTCATCAATTGATCTATAATAGATATGTGAATATATGTTATAAAATGGATGAATACACAACGCAGATCAACAAATTTGATCAAAAGTCAAATTAATTACCCATTGCTGTTTTTAGCATATTCAATAGCAGAATCAATGAGGGGAGCATAACGAGGAATTTGTGTAGCTTGTAAAATCAAAGAAGGATTTGTTGTTGCATCTTGAGGTTTATACTTGGCGATTGCTTTTTGCATAAATAAGATTACGATTAATTGATGAAAAAGCTATTATTGGATGCAAATTAAATGATAAAACGTAATAATAAAATAATTATGATCCACAATTAATTTATTGAAAAAAATTCCTACACTCAAATTCGCCAGTATCAGCAACAACGGTAGTGTATTGTTTAATTTGATCAAGAACAGAAGTCATTATTATTTATTTTTTTGAAACTTTAGAATATGTATAATATGTATAATGATAATCATCATCTTTGTCGTTTTATTAATTAATCGGCAGTGTAACATCTATTGATTTTTCTTTTGATAATTTTTTAAGGTAAATATAAAATATAAAATAAATCAAGTTTTTTTGTTGAATATGATGAATAAAATAATCAAGCTCAACAGTCTGAATAATAATAACAATTAAAATGTTGACAAATATTCTAAATTTTCTGATATCAAAATAACATTATAAAAATATTGTGGGTTTTTTTTATATATATTTTTTAAAAAAAAAATTCTTCTCTCTCCTTTTTATTAATAAGTTAAGAAAAAGAAAGAAAAAAACATTCTTTAGGGAAAACTAAAAGAATATTCATTTCCACCAACAAGTATAAATGATTTAAACCAATTTGGATGAGTAATGAAATGGGAAGGAAAGTTGAAAGGATTCATTGAGACATCTTTTATTGACAAATTGATAAATTGAATGCTATCAATGATACAATAAATAATTTATGTGAAAACAATAATTTTTAATCATCTTTATATTTTTTTATATGTAATCCTAAAAGTAATAAACAAATAAATAAATAAATAATGTAACATAACAACAATTAATTAATAAAATAATTATAATAGTAACATTACCATTGAGCACCATATAATGACAATAGACCAATTGATCCTATGCCAATTTGAATTTTAGTAGCAGTTGGTTTTTTATAAATCCAACCAATCAACAATCCAGCTAAAGCAATATCTATAGTAGCACTTAGAATAATTGCACTTTTTGATAATTTGTTTTTCCTAGACTTTTTACTACCTCCTCCTCTTCCTCTCTCGCCTATTCCTCTAGATGTAATATAATTGTCATTGTTATCCGCAACAGTTGCATCATAATTTTCATTAAATTTATCTTCCCCTTCACTACTACTTACTATATCATAAGAAGAAGTGTTTAAGTAAGAAGTATTGGAAGTATTGGAAAAAGTGGAGCTTGATAAAGATGCATCACTAACAATTAGATCTGCCTCCAAGTTTTCTGTTTCGTAGCTATCTTCTTGTTTTTTTAAAATTTCTGCAAAAGATGATGCAGCCATGTTTATTTTAAAAAAAGGAAGATTATTTAGCATACAATAAAATGTACAAATATTAATTAAACTGTCATTCATTCACAGTCAATCATCACCAAATTAATTAACTCCCAGTCCTAAACCGATCATCAACTATCAATTGATCCGTTTGTAATATTATATTTCTATTATACAGTTGGCTCTGGATATAGTGAGTTTTTGGAAAAACTTCATTATATAGAACGATTCATTATATAAAAAGATCGCCAAATGTCATGTGAAATTTTCATTAATTCGTGCTCCGTGTAAAATCTTGCCGATCGTTAGTATAATTTTATGGCAATATAATTTTTGGGATATGACCGTCCCTCACGTGATTAAGCATGATTACGCGCGACATAAAAATTTAAAATTTAAACTTTTCAAAGTAACCAAACATCTATTTATATTTCTTTTTTTTTTTTGAATAAAACTAATTACAAACACTTATTTATATTTTTTTTCTTGAATAAATAATTAAATATTATACTTGAATCTTAAGTTTTATATAGCAATTTTAGGCAAGAATCCAGCGGTCCCTCCATATAAAGATAAAATATTTTATAAGAAAGTCCCTTTGAAAATTTGTATATTAAAACTTTGGGTTTCTTATTATTTATTACATTTGCAAATACAATTTATAAATTCGTATAAATAGTAGTTTTTTAGGAATGAAGTATGGGTTCCGGAAAATTTCAATTAGTGATCTGCGAAAATTTGCGCCAAATTCTATTATGAAATCATTTGACTATTAATTAAAAATTTCTTTTTTGCTGCAATATTTTGAATCATAGGTCAATAATTGCTGCAACAAGGGGTATTTAAGGTCAGTGTCTTTAAATATTGTTTTATATCAATATTAACTGCTGCTAAATATTTATTATATGTAAAACAAGTAATACCAATACATTTTAATATGGTTTATTTGCCCTCCACATTAGAGTAAAGCCTGTTTCCTGGGTGGAAATTTTTAGAAGAAGAAAAAATTACATCCCTACTTTTAGAAGATGAAGTTGAAGATGAAATCACATGCCATCTGGTAAAAAGGGAAATATGATTTAAATCATCATGTGTTGGTTTAGCTGAATCAAATATAACCCAGTAACTCAAAATTTTAGTCATTCCGTTGGCTTGGGCACAGTGATTTAGTAGTGATAACCAATACCAGTTTGTGAATTCTTGAGTGAACTCACACACACGTCCCAGAATGACTTATATCTCCTTATATTTGAAGAAATTGGTTTTGAGGAAGATTGCGCATAATTCTTTAATTAAAATTCTGGTGTGATCTGTGGCATATTCTGATACATAATTTAAAACCTTTAGAGCTTCAAAGATTACAATTAGAATGTTTGCTACAACAAATTTACTTACTATACCTGAAGTACAAGATAAAATAAACCAAAACCTCCAAAAAGCCACTGTTAGAAAAAAAGGATCAAGTGTTGATGCTGGTAATAGAACATTTATGTAACTATAGAAAACATCATTAAAAATAATATGCAAGATTAGAAATCATGTAAAAATGGTTGGGATTGATTTTATCTTACTATCTATGTGTTTGTTTAATTGGATATTAACACTTTTTATAAGAGGAAGAAAAATGCGAATAAATGCACAAGAACAAAAAATGCACTAAACAACAAAGGAAGCAATCTGTAAAAAAAAATTTCTAATAATAATTTTTTGGCAGAAAAAGGAGAAGCAACAATAAACAATTTATCCCCTTTTTCTTGTATAATTAATTTGAGTGGTTCTAATGATTATACCCAATATCTACCTCAAATAGACCATTGTTTTGAGGATAAGACTAGAGTGCTTTGACTATCTACATTGATACCAACTAGTGTTCCATGTCGCAATCCAAAAAAGGAAACAAAATGGTCGTAAAGGTGGTTGCAACCAGTGGTTGCAATCATTTTTATATGACGCAAAGGTGGTAGCAACCATCATCAAAAGTTGCAGCTGGTATCCTTAATACCAACAACATCACTATCATCATTTACAATACTTTTTCATATCCTCCATATCCATATTATTGAAATTACTGGCTAATTCTTTTAAGACAAATTTTTTTTTTTCATTATTTATTTATTTATATTATTTTTACTACACTCCAATTTAACTCTCTGGCCATTCTGCATACTCATTTTTTTTATCCTAAAGATTTTACAAAAAAAAATTTTTAAAACAAGTTTCATGAGCAATCTGATTCAATTTTTAAGTCCAAATTCATTGATGGTAATGTTGTAAAAGTAAAAGTGAAGGCCTTATTTCATAGTCATGGAGTAACTGGAGTTTCTACAGTGTCTTCATTTTATATTTGTTGGGAAGATCTTACGTATTAGCATTAATGTATTAGTATTATTTTAAAATTGTGACACAATAGAAATCTCATCTTTTGTAATTTTTTTTTAAGGGTAGAGATCTCCCTATAAATGATTTTCATTATAGAAAATGTCCACAAAATTTAATGATCTGCACTACATTTCAATACAATATATATTTATGTTGTGCGTGAAAATCAAATTTGTGTCAATTTGAAATTTACCAATTAAATTTGGGGTGGGTGTTTGAATACAAAATTCTGATTGGCTAATTTGAATTTCACATGCGTGAATTTCAAATTGACACAGATTCCAAATTCATGCACAACATTTATATAGTAAATAGCAAAATTATTAATAAAAATATTTAGAACAAAATAACGTTTCCCAATTTTCTTGCATTATCACTGCAGTAGCACCTTCAATTGAAAGATCCACCTGTATATTAGGTAGATTTGATGGCTTAACACATTATGCACTGTATTAAGATTATTTTTCATATTTAATATACTATAATCAGATGATAACTTGGAGTTATTGAATAAATATGCAGAGATTGTATTTTTTATATTTAATTTACACAATATCATCTTATTACATACTGATATTGTTGTTATTATTATATTCTTAGATAATTTATTTTGAACAAAAATCAAACAAAAATATTGGAGTTGATGAATAGATTGTATTTTTATATTTAATTGTTTTATTAAATCATTTTTTCATGATATTATTATTAATTGCATATTGATTAGGGATGTTAATCAGTCCTTTTGGGACCGGGTCCTGAACAGTCCCGGACCGGACTTTTTCAGGTCCAGTCCCGCCATTTGGGACTTAAAATCCTAAAAGGTCCCTGTATAACCTTATGCGCTGATTTTGTTTGAACCTCAAAAATTCAGTACGACAATAAGGTTTGAAAAAAGGGTCCAAAAAACCAAAGCAAATAATAAATTTTTTATCATTATATTCAATCATTATTCAAATATTCAATCATTAATAATAATAATAGTAATAATATTAGTAATAATATTAGTAATAGTAGTAGTAGTTTTGAAAATTGTCATAATATTGATTTTTTCATTTGCCAAATAATTAACCAACTACACTTTTTATTGAATTCTTTCTTTATTCATTCATTCGCCCATTCATTTAATTCATTTGCCAATTTATTCATATACATTTTTTTAGCATAGTAATTAATAATAAATAATACAATTATATTAATATAATTAAATGAAATGTCATCATTTACAAATAGAGATGGATTCAATAATGAATTTAATAATAATGAATTTAATAATAATGAATTTAATAATAATGAGTTTAATAATAATGAATTTAATAATAATGAATTCAATGATAATGAATTCAATGACAATGAATTTAACAATGAACAAGACTTTTGTAATAATGATGACGATATTCAATTTTTATATTCAAGATCATCTCCACCTCCACCCCATTTTCACCGACATGACACTTTACCAACAAGATATTTTACCAACAGGACTTTACCAACAGGACACTTTACCAACAGGACACTTTACCAACAAGCATTGTGTTAACAATTTGCCAAGGACTGTGTGAAGACCTGGATAACTAGCTAAAAGTTTGGTTTTTTACAGACAAGTTAAATTAACTGTTAATTAACTAATAACATAACTTATTATCCATACTTTGGATCAAAAACCAGATACATGCGCAATATTTTTTTTTTGTCTAAAAAAATTGATATTCATTGTTTTTATTAAATTTATTTATTATATTTAATTGATTTTACAAAAAAATTTTTATTGTGATACATTGATTAATTATTATTATTATACACAAAATTTTTTTTAAAAACAAAAAAAAATTTTAAAATGAAATATTATGGGCAATGCACTGAAGAAACTCCATAGTTGATCTAATGTTACAGTTGTTACAGTTGTTATGGTCATTCAATACTGTTTGAATCTGTATTTCGTGGTTACGATCTTGTAGTTTCTGTGGAGGTCAACTTCACTGACAGGACACTTCACCGACAGGACACTTTACCAACAAGATATTTTACCAACAGGACTTTACCAACAGGACACTTTACCAACAGGACACTTTACAATCAATCATTGTGTTAACAATTTGCCAAGGACTGTGTGAAGACCTGGATAACTAGCTAAAAGTTTGGTTTTTTACAGACAAGTTAAATTAACTGTTAATTAACTAATAACATAACTTATTATCCATACTTTGGATCAAAAACCAGATACATGCGCAATATTTTTTTTTTGTCTAAAAAAATTGATATTCATTGTTTTTATTAAATTTATTTATTATATTTAATTGATTTTACAAAAAAATTTTTATTGTGATACATTGATTAATTATTATTATTATACACAAAATTTTTTTTAAAAACAAAAAAAAATTTTAAAATGAAATATTATGGGCAATGCACTGAAGAAACTCCATAGTTGATCTAATGTTACAGTTGTTACAGTTGTTATGGTCATTCAATACTGTTTGAATCTGTATTTCGTGGTTACGATCTTGTAGTTTCTGTGGAGGTCATGGTGTTCCTTGCAAGACCATTTCCATGTCAAGTTTGACTTTACTTTGTTCCTTTTGCATCTCTTTTATTATTTCAAAAAGACCTACATGGTCACGACCTACTAATACCTCCCATCTTCTATGCCAAGCTTCTACAGAATTTGTAGTGCGAGGAAGAGCATATTCAACATTGTTAGCAACTGACCAGAGGTATGGTGGAAACATTGGTGTATCTTGAACAATAGTTCCATTTCTAAATGCATGTCTTGCCCTGCCATGCACATAATTATCTTCAAACCACTATACAACTCCAACAGCTTCTGCTGGAATCTCATCTTTTAGCCGATCAAATGCTGCAGGGATGTCAGCAGGATTCAAAAAAGCAAGCACTGGAATTTGTCGAATCACTATTTTTAGCGCGTTGAATTTAAAACTATTATTTCTCCTGCAAAATTCATTTGTTTGCAAAAAAATTAAATTGTTTCAATTGAAAACTATAATGTGGTGTAGTGGTGATACAGAGAGAATGTTAATTTTCTGTTTTTTTTTGAAAGTTGTATGTAATAGAACAAAAAGTATTGCAATAAAGGAAATTTTCGAATGAATACTTTATAATATTGAACTTTTTAAAATGTAAATAACTCTCTGGATTTTTAAAATATTATCTATTTACTATCTTTACGCACACATTTAACGCCTCTATTATTGAAAATGGGGGAGAAACAACAATTTGAAAACTTCAAATTCGGGAAAACTTTAAACTGTTATTTCTCCTGCAAAATTCATCTGTTTGCAAAAAAATTAAAACTGTTTCTATTGAAAGCTATATGTAAATATGTTAATTTTCTACAATATATTGATAAAATACTGGTTTCTGGATATATTAATAATACAATTCGCGTGTGGGACCTTGAGAAAGGTGTATATACTTGTATGTTCTTGGGTCATGCAGATGCTGTCGGGTGTCTTTTTGACTATCCAACCACAAAATGTTAATTCTAGTTCAAATTTGATCATTACTGGTTCAAAAGACTTTACAATAAAAGTTTGGCGATTACCAAATCTTGAGGTTGACCCATCATACATACCTTCATCGCAATCAGAATTTGATAATAATATTCGTACCCTTTATCCCTACAATCATTCCGTTCATGCTTTAGCTGGTGTAGGAAATATATTCATTAGTAAATGGCAGCCACGATCATACTGTAAGAGTATAAAATGTTATTACTAATAGTAATATTCGGTTTCTAAGAGGTCATGCAAGAAAAGCTTATTCATTTGCGTTGGATGTCAACCATAAAAGGTGTATGAGTGGAAACAGTGACGGAACAGTTAAAATCTGGAGCATAGAAAATGGTACAAACTTGTGAACGTTAGAAAATATGTTATTATTATTTTCTTTGTATTCAACATAATTGTCAAAATATTTTAATATGATTTAAGGCTGCTTTATCTTTCTCATAATTATCTTGTTTCTACAGTAGTTACCCCTGCTTCTCACTATAGTCTTCGTGTATGGAACCCTGATAATGGAACATGAAAACACGTAATAACCACACATACAATAAAATGTTTTCAACATGATAAAGATAAATAATAGTAGGTTCAAATGTAAGGTTATGCATGTGGAATGCAAAAACTGGACAACATATACGTGATTCGTTAGTGGATTTGACTAATATATTGTGAATTGGGTTCTATTAGATACATTAATTAAATATATATTTATCAAGCGAGTAAAGTTTAAATGAAAGGTTTGCGTTGCAGCTGTAAAACGAAATAGTTTGATATATTTGATTATGGTGCCTTTGAAATACAAGAAGATAAGTAATGGTGATTGGGTGTGCAAAAAGGTTAATTTGTTGTTGTGATAATTTAATTCATAAGAATTCAATAATAAGACAATAATATATGTAAATGTATTGCGAGATTGTAATCTCACGTGTTGTCTGATAATTTATAGTTTAAATTGTTTTTATCTTTATGCTTACTCCCAGTAAGATTTTGTTTTTATTGCTCACACTTTTCGCGAGACTTCCAACGTTGTTGGTTATGGAATTGCTAATGATTAAAGTTGACCAACTGTTTAATCACGTCTTAATCGAATAGATGTTTGTTTATTTAATGATTATGCTTCTTCAGCATGAACTTTATATGAAATTATTTAATCCAGAAAAGGTTGTTTTATGTAAAGATGTAAATATTGAATAATAATATAATGTTAATTATTAAATCTAATTGCAAGAATTCTGAGAATTCTCTTGACGAATGTTTGTATATAAATATTTGGGTTCCATTTTTCGTAGGTTCATGGCTTCCGCGTTGAATTGGGTTCTGTTGATAATAACTGGGTAAAGTGTAATAATGAGTATTAATATTGAATTTTGCACATATACTCTTTCATATATTGTAAGTCTAGCTAGATCAGAAAAGATCAAAAATTCCATCGACATTTTATTAGTAAACTTTTTGGTGTGAAGATGGAAGGAAAACAAAGCAATTTTAGGTTGAAATTTTCAACAGTTATGAAAACACTACCTTTTGAAATAGAACAATAATAACAGCAATAATAAATCCATGGATTTTACATTGATCCCAATATGGAAACATTTAGTCAAACAATATAAATTTAATGTTACACGAAAAATAGATGACGAAAATTTTTTTTTGATTTTCAATTCCAAAAAATGACCGACTACACTACTTTCATTGATCCTCTTGATCTTATTTTACAAGACTTTTCTACAGACCAAGGTATCAAAATATAAAAATATTTATTATTTAAAGTAGTCTAGTAGTTAGTTACTAAATAAATTTTTTTATAGTTGATGACAATAATAAAAGATTTGTCAAACAACCAATATCAAATATCCCATTATGTTTGTGCAAATTTTCTAAATTTTCTGGGTATTTCATTTCACTTCACAATTGCTAAACAGTATAAGGGATGGTTTTATAAAAAATTTTAATAATCGGTTAATGTTTCTATTCTCTCAGTTTCTTTAAACTCGGCCGCAAATCTAACATCTTCCGGCCTCACCAAACTCCTCCCCGCATGTGCTGCACACCTACCACTAAAGTAACAATAAATTGATCAAAAGAAAAACAACAGTTAATGAAAACGTCACAAATATATTTTAAATTATCGGTTTTCATACATACGCATCCCTAAACAGCCCCATCACCCCCCTTTCTGCTGTCTGTTTTAAATATTAAAATGATTATTAATATTTTACCAGTATGAGAAATTTTCAATCATTTAGTTAAAGAAAAAAAAAATATACCCTCACAAACGACAACCCTAGCCTGGCCTCCTCTCCAATTTCTCTGACCAACCTCTCAAAGGCCCTCCTACTAATTGAAAATCTCCTTTCTCGGCTCTGTAATATGAATTACTCACCAAACTAAATGAATCAAATGAATCAATTATTTCAAACAAATTACTTGACACATTAAAAATAATAAAAGATTGTACCAGTTGTGCACAAAGATATAATTATTATTATTTATTTTATGAATCATTAAACAAACTAAAAAAGGACTTGGAAGAATTAGAAAAGGAAGAAAATGAAGATAGGGGAGCAGAAATGATCCATAAATTAAGTGATGAATTAAATGAATTAGACTTTCTTCTTTTGAAAGAAGAAGATCTCTGTTATATTGGATTATCTCTTGGTCCAGCTAAAAGAATAGCACAGTTAATTAAGGAAATTTCAAGAACATCTTTAATAGATAAGCCATCTACTAATCTTGACACATATTTGTTGATAACTCAAACATCTGGATTGAGGGAAAGTATACTGTTGGCAGCCTTGAGCAGTTAGGTACCTATGATTTTGACAGAGATTCTATTATTTTAGACAGCTCAAGATTGACTATGGTAAGCTTCTCACCACAGTTCAGTGCGGACGTAAATTAGGTGGTGCACCATTCTTGATCGGTTCTCGACCACCGCCTAATGACTCATTGTGGTCATACATTAAGGATCAAGGGTTTGAGGTGAATGTGTTTGATTGGGACATCACAAGCCATCGTGAGAAGGAGGCTGATATAGAACTTGCGTTATCAGTAGCAGAAACGATCACATTAAATGATCCTGGTATTTTAATTATTATTGCTGGCGATAGAGACTATAAACCTGTAGTAAAACGGGCACTGGAACTCAATTGGACTGTGGAGACATGGTTTTGGAATTTAGGTATGCAAATGTTATGTTCGAAGTCATGTGAATTTTTAAATTGCATTATTTGAAATATCCTGTCTTCTATAGGTGCCTCTATTAGCCTTAAATCAAATACAATTTTTTGTCCTCTGGATAATTGTTATCGATCCTTCTCATATGGATTAGGACCTGACCCCAGTGAGAAGAACCAAGTCCTTGAAATTACTGATGGCAACCTCATTCGAAGTTTGAAAAATGAAGACATATTAGAATGGTTTAATACTTTAAACTTGTTCGGTTGGTGGGAATGAGATGGTTATATGGCCGTGCGATTTTACTTTAATAATTCGGAAAACTTGGAAGTGGTAAAAAATTGGATCCTGCACAATTATCAGGAAGTACGAGTCCAAGAAAAAAATTAAGGGAAAAAGATTTTTTAATCAAATATCTGTTTTTCAACCTGATTACAGAACACATTTTTGTTCATATCAGGATGCAGTATCCAGACATTTACCTTATCATATCTTTGATTATCCACAAGAAGATATGAAAGCTAATGATCAAATCAAAATAAAAATTTTTATTATGAATAAATAATAATCAATATAAATAAATTTAGCAAATAAATCTCTATTAAATTTATTTTATTATCATTACTGTTAGTGTTATCATTATTATTATTGACTTCCATTTTTTTATATTAAATGTATTAAAGTGCATCGTAACGTTCCAATGACTTTAATTGGATTTGGATTTGGAACGCCGATCATTCCAAACACTTCAAGAAATAGTCTAGCAAGAACTTGGGAAGCTAGCCCGTCGTCGAAATTATACGAATAAAAAATAATCTATGAAATAGACATGCCTTGGATTCTCCTGCCCTCTCACCAGGGATTATGACGCTCTGTAATTATGGAGCCAACATGCAATTATTTCTTCGATTTGATTAGATATTAACTAACGATGCAATCTAACTTATTTATATTCAATCTAGTAGAGTTGTTAGAACTGATTCTATATTATCTAGCAAATGGTAAGGTACTCTGTCCTGTCCTATTTGTCAATAGGCCCATCAAGTGAATCTGATTCATCCAATTCTGAATTATCCAGCCTGAGCCCAATTATCTGATTCCAGCCCCAAAGGACTGGGACAAAGTTCCAAAAATAAACAATGCAGTAAAGTCTCTCATATAAGCCCGGTATAGCTATGAAGAAAAAAAAGTATCCCATCATATTCGAAAACATCGCAAAAGTAAGCCTCGCAGTAAATCATTGCATTAATATACACCTATTGTCCAGATCATGTGGGTTCCGAATTATAAGATGCCAAGAATAAAAAAGACTAATGTATTTTTGACATGTGATGGTATTGTAAAACAGGACCGAAATGGATTCATCCAAATAAAAAGGGATGTAACTTCTATATCTTACCTTGATTAAATATCATGAAATATCATCATCAATCGCCCATTGAAAAACACCTAAATTGACGTATGTCAATTATTGTGATATTCCATAGGAAAATTTGCCCTACAACTGATTATTTTATTATTCGAATGATAAAAGAGGTTAATGTATTTTTGACATATAAAAATTCTCTGGGCAAAACATAAAAAGGGATATAGATTACACAAGTTACTTGCTTTTGTTAATTATCCGATAATAAAAGTTCATATAGTTGTTTGATTTTATTAAGTATCTGATAATAAAAGGTCCTGTATGTTGTATGAAAAATCATAATCATCACCAGATATTTGCAATATAACAATAAAAATACGGTTAGAACTTCTTAATTGTTGGTAATTTCTTGACGTAAAGTCAAAATTCTATTTTATGGACGCATGATTTTTCAACAAAATGGTTATATTAATTACTTCTGATATCATGGAGTCATACCCCTATAACCCTGGATCAAACCTTACGAGGTTTTGATATCTCCATGTGTTTTTTCATTCGTTATAATACATCATTATCACACTAGTTAACACTTATAAAAGATTGCTCAAAACCCGTAACACTGCTTTTTTCCTTACTTGGGATAGATTGTATGATTTTGGTTTTGATCTACTATTTTTTTTTTTTTTGTAAATTAAATTTGTTGTTTGCCTATATTATTTGTAAATAAACAGTGGTACGGGAAATAAGACGTTGTAGAAGAGTGATCATTATACATGAGCGAACGAACGAACAGATCAAACAGATCGAGTGAGCATTGAGCTGATAAAAAATCAATATTTACTAAACATAATTTTTTGGGAAGCATGAGATGAAAAAAATGAGACGTTTCTTTGATTTATTCATTTGATGTTAAAAAAAATTTTACCTTTTTGGTTTTAATTTTTTAATTTTTTATTTTTTATCTACCACGCCCATCTATCGGAGAGGTTTCTTTTCTTTTGTTTGCTGCGGTCTAACCCTTTGATCAACTTAATCAATAACCGAATGAGTGCGATAATAACTAAAAATAACGTACCATAATAAAATAATAATAAATAATAAATAATAAAAATAAATTGTTTGTTTATGTCGCAAACAAAGTAGTCTATATATATATATATATATAACAAACGAAAATTACACTAGTACTAAAGTGTATGATTATTAAGTAAATACAGTCGTCGCGTAATAAAAATCACATTTGGTCAATGAATGAATGTGCCATTGCAAAGTTTTTGTTCCGTTCGCGAATTAGTCATTTTTTTCGATTATGATTTTTGATTGTGATCCTTCTTCCCTTTAAGTGAGTTAGTTATTTTTTTGATTGATATATAAACTGTTTGTATTTATCGATCGAGCAAAATTCTTTTCAATTCAACAACTCTCTTTTCGATAAAACGATAAATAAAAAATAACACAATAATACTTTGGCTTATTTTTTCTTTATCTTTGACTTTTTTTTTCTGAAAAAATGCCATCGATCAATGTGCGTCATTTGATTTTTTTTCCACTAGTTCACTTGAACAGGAGATCGTCCTATATACGGAATGAATTTTCACAATTTGATTTCAATTTTTTTATACAGTTTAAAATACTTTTACAAGGGTATTACGTAGCAATTTGCTCGAAGAAAAATGTCTGAATTTAAACGTTGCACAGAATGTAAAACCATTAAATCAGCTAAATTTCATTAATTGAAAGGCAATAAATGGAAAGAAGCTGAGAACAACAACTTAGTGAAGGTAACGTGGACAGAAGATGCTGTTTTATGTAACATTTGTTTGATTTTCATGCGTTGTTCATTTTTCGTCTCGATCATGTATCTTAATTTCGTTGTGTTTGCGATCATTTCATTGACATTCATTATGTTAAGGTTATTTTGATTATATCGAGAGAGAAGAGTTAGGAAGAGAGTTATTCTTCAACCAAGTCAAAACCAACCCTTTAAATACATTTTCGAGTAGTATGATTATTTAATTTATTAGACTGTTTCAATGGTTTGTCGCGTGGTTGCTTCCGACTTCTTAGATTCGTTAACGAAATGATTGTTGGTGAAGTGATTGTTGACAAAATGAATCAAACCATATCTATTTCTACTTTATCAATGAGGATTTTTTTTATTTTTATGAGAAATTGGTAAAGCCAAAGTCAGTGGGCTAAAATTTTGTGTTCCCAGAACGGTCTCTCCTGCTCACTTGCACATCAAAAAATTTTGTATGTCATAGTTAAATGTTGCCGTCGCACAAAAATAAAAAAGTAAGCTACTAAACACGAACACGACTCAATAATAAAATATTAATTATTATTATTGTTTTTAAGGAGTAACCCCTTTCCTTTTGTTTTTGCTCCACGTAAGGGCTTTAATTTTAGATGACAGTTATATTCGCTCCTTTATCATAACGGTATATTTGTTTATTAATTATTATAAGGTAAAAAAAGCAACTTTATTTTAAATCTAACTATATTATTATTCAAAACATTATATCTGCTCATTTTAAATCAACTGTCATAATATCTATTTTCAATAAACTATTATAATTTTTTAAGTATTGAAGATGGAGAACCAGCTCTTGAACAGTCTGGAAACACCAAAAGACGATATTTGATTATTAAAAATTACAGTTATTCTTATCTTCCTGGGTAACAAAGGCTAATCTGACTGACGACCCCGAAGATACGATGACGCGATTTAAATCTTTCAGGGGGGGATGCCATGGCCCTGAGATTGAGTTGTTGTCAATGACGGCTGTTAAAGCCTAGAAATTGAGTTGTGGCTGTTAAAGCCTTGAAATCGAGTTGTTTTCAATGAATAACGGCTGTTAAAGCCTTTTATTCGATCAAAGCCTACTAATATGTTCTAATCGCTTCACCCATGGAAGAGTTTATTAAGGGTAATAATCATTGATATTATTACCTGAAGAATTTCCATGGATATGAAGATACGGTTGCATGTTTGTAGAAGGAAGATTTTAATTAAATCTGACACCCTAAATAGTCAATCAGATTTATTATTCATTTAAATTTTCAAATCTATATACGACTTGCAATTGGGAGACGTGTATTCACACGCACACACACACACACACATATACACAAAAAAGAAAGAACCAATTAGACGACGATGCAATGGAACCATCAGATTAAAACAATAAAAATAAATATCAAGATTTTATATCCCAAATGTTAAAATTTTCATTTTTGCATGGTCCTAGTATCATTTATACTTGAACGATGCAATTATTATAATACGCATTGCATAATCATTGTGAATAATCTAATAGACATGATACAATAGTGGAAACAATGGTGCTCATATTCAAGGAAAGGACTAAATAACGACAAAAAAGATAATATAATAATATAGAGGATGGGGCCTTTTTTCGTGGGAAAGGTTATGACTTTTCCAAATGTTTTAAATTTGATTCTTTGACTTATTATTATTTATTGTGATCATCACAGAAATTTCAATATCAATTTTTTTAATGATATTTTCACAGCTATGCCATTGAATGAATAACATTCCAACCAATAACGCGTGCCAAATCCTATTATAAATTTACCCGAAACGCTTTTAATAACTAGGCGATCGTGACCTATTGGAAGATTCAGTGAAGGTGCTAGGAGCAAGACTTGGACTAGAAGAAATTCCTATCATTATTAAACGACGCATGTTTAAATTATTGAATTGTATATAGATGATTTACTATATCTTCTTTTTTTCCTTGTCATTTTATTTTTCTGGGTATGATAGAAACATGCTCATTGGTTAAAATTTTATCAATTGTTTATTTGTTGAGGTTTCGAATTATACTATATTCTGCTGGAGTTTCTACTCTTTGCATTCGGTCAATGACTGATTGTGTTGTTTTTGCAATCATTGTTTTTTTTTAACTAAATTAATACCAACAAGTATATTCGTTGTCATCATAAATTTTTCTTGCTGGTTGGTTTTACCTTTAGACTAATAAAAGTTTGTGGGGGCGGAAGAAATTGGCACGGGAGATGGAGGTGAAGGCGGAGTGGTGTGACCTTGTTTTTTTTTTAATTAATATATGGTATTTGTAAAGTGATTCTTGCCTGCACCAAACCACCAAACTCTGTTTTCATAGAATGTTTATCCAATCCAGTTCAATTACAATAATAAATTGTACAAAGTGTAATATACCAATATATAGACGTTTATAAAAAAAAATGTTATCAGTATAATATTTAAAATAATCAACACTGATCCAATCAAATAATATAAATATGGAAATCCCATCAAAATAGCTACTTGTTTGAGCAACCTTTATTCCTGTATGTCTGGCTTTCCATGATTTTTTACTTTTACATATCGCTTTTCAAAAATGGTAATGATGCAGGGATTCCATGTACAGATGCCACAACTGAAAAGGCTCTTGCCGTGGTGTTTCTAACATATTCATCAAGATGATCAATATCTATTATGTATTTTTATCATATAAATAATTAATAAATAAAGTATTATATTTTATTAAAATATGTGCATGTATTATATTTATATGTGTATATACGTACCTGATCTCATTGTAGAAATCACTTTTGGTAATCCAGCAGCTATACTTAAATTACTTATAATTTCACGGTCCTCTATTTTATATAAAATTCAAATAATAATAATCAGTATAACAATAAATTATTAATTTTCAATAAATAATTTGATTAAATAACAATCAATTTGTGGTATCTCTTGCCTGAATACACGAACTCTAAAGAAGGAAAAAAAAAAAATTACTAACCACATCTTGCAAAATAATAATCTTCAATCAAAAGCGGTTCAATGACTACAAGAATTTTATGGACATATGGACAATCAAAGCATCGAGCTTATAAAGAATACGATCAATTACTTTAACTAGTAAATGACGTTCTTGATCTTCTAAATTTTGAGACATCAATAGAGAAAGAATCTGATTAAAAAGTGCTCCAGCTCCAAAGTCCCTAGCTTTATCCATGATTTGTCAAAGTGCAGTTTTTCTCATTATAGATGTTCCATTTTTTATTTTAAGAAATAATCTCATAATCTTGCATTCCTTCAGGTAATTCACTTTCATCTTTATCTTCTAATAATTTACCAAAGAGTTGCTTATCTTCTTGTTTAAAAAATGGCAAGTTACCAACATCTGGTATTTCTGGAGGTTAACCTTTGCCTACCATTGGTGTTGGTGTGGCCATTAATTTACAAGCAGAAGTTCTGATCGGTACATATCCTGATAGTGGTTCCAGAGTTTTGTAACCAGTTGAAGGAAACATTGCATTAGGCTCTTCATCTGATAAAGGTTTATTACGTGCTTTTGGATCTTTTTCCATAGTTGTACTTTTTGCAATTATTGAAATGCTTAAATATATTATTGAATAAAAAATTTGTTTTTTATGAAACAAACCTTCAGGTGTCATAGGCACGAGTAGGAGTCATTAACTCCAAATTCCCAGCAGGTGTGGCTCTAATTTGAGCTTCTGGATGAGTAGGTGTTTCATCCCAACGAGATTTCTTTGTTGAAACTTGAGGAGTAACATCTCATCTATTTCGTTTGCGTGGTGTTTCTGTCACTGAACCTTCCGAGCCTCTAGGTGTTTCGTTCCATATATTGCTCTTAGAGATTGGAGTATTTTCTTCAAGATTAGACCATTCAGAGGTTTGTTTAAGTTCTACTTCCATGTCAACAAGAACAAGATTTTTTTTTTAATAATAACAATAAATGTTGCTCAAATCCATATGCTTGTCACAGTCGGATTGGCAACAAAAATTGGTATTTGGTTAAATGAGATTGTCTGAATATTTATTCCATGATGTAATATCAAAGGTCATGTATATTCATTTGTCGGATCTTTTTTTTTTTGGTATTAGTATTGAATTAATTATGCCCGCATCAATATATAATTTCTCTGCTAAATTTGTTTTATTAACAAAATTATAATAATTTCAACCAGGTTACATGTGCTTTGTCCCAAATAAAAAACCAGTTTATCCATGCATCCTTCCGTCTTTAAAATAGTAATGTCTTAATTCCTCTGCTAGCTATGATCAAAATCCAAAGCTTCTCAAACACGCACACACGCATATTCAAAATAAATTGAATGAATAGAATAGAATTAATAATCACCCTATTACACAGAAATCCAGAAATCCAGTAAAATTAAGGAATCTGTTAACCTAGAAATCAGCCGACCAGAAATCCAATAGAATTGTTGATTTTTGACCAGATAAGCCAATCAAATCACAACGACCAGACCTTCAAATTCTAACCGCAGGTCAAGTTCAGGGAACAACGCGGGTACTAAACGAATGATTTACTTAATAACTTTATATAGAATTGTTATTAAACCACATCAAGGATAGCACCTTCTAACGTTATCCCCAACGGTCAGACCCAGAGCCCCGATAAATGTTGATACTCACTGAAAGAGTTGTACAGCGCAGGTAACTAAACGAATGATTTGCTTAATAGTTTTATATGTAGTCTATTATCAAACCATATCAAGAATAGAACTGTCGGTCATCGTACCCTCTCATTTAATGCAAATAACAACAAGTTTAAGAACCAGAACGGCCATTAACAAGCCCAGAAATCCCTAAGGAATCTGTCGCCCGCCTCCTCGAGATTTAAAATCCGTCGTTAGAGTAGGATACTAATTCATTAACCCCACCCTAGAAGGCTTTGACACTATAATAATAGTAAAAATAGATGTTAAAATTTTTAATTTTTGCATATTCATGTATGCGTATGTGTTTGCATATGTATAAATTTTTTGAAATGATAATGAAGAAATGGAAAAAAAAGAAGTAGTGTATATTGTAGCTGTAGTAGACATAGGTGTATGCTAAGAATGTTAGCCGAAATTGCTCTTTTAATCAATGAATCCAAATGCCGAAATGGTTTTTCATAGTTGCCGAAATTAACTTTATCGGTTATCGAAATTATATCCAAAATTATTTGAACACTGTAACTCAATAGCCAAAATTCTGGGTAGTTATTTTATGTCTATTGATATAAAGAGTATTGTAAACCCAAAATTGCTTGCCGAAATTGTTGTGTACCAATTTTTTTGTTGATGATATAGAGAAGAGAGAACATTGAATTTTTTATGGGAAAAAAATAAACATTTTTATGATCGTGCAATTTCACTACTAGTCGCGGGACATTGCAGATCAAGTGTCATTCAATATAAACGTTACAAAAAAAAAATCTCTGTTTTTCATATAGCAAGCGATTTTCAACCATAATAAATTTTTTAGAGCCAGACTGGGGCTTTTAACAACAGTTAAAAGAAAAGGCTAGCTTTAAATATTAGTTATTCTACGCCAGGTTGCCATGTAGAGTTATTAATGAAACGTAATGGGTTGGGTTGGGTTCATATTATTGTAGAGCAAGGGTTAACCCAACCCAACCCGGGTTATAATAAAATATTTTGCTCCGGGTTAGTATATACAAAAAAATAGAAATCTTAACCCACTCCATGATGGAGTGATACATAACTCGGGTTGATGCCAGAACATTATGCTCCATTTAACAACCCTATTGCCATGACATCTTATAATTATTTAATATTAATATTATCAATGTTGATTACGAAAAGAAAATCGATTATCATGATAAATAGAAGCTCTGTTCCCACAGTTTGATTTCAATAATATATATACAAAATAAAAAACACATGTATTAACAATATCTATAAAAAGAAAAACAAAAAATAATACATGTACATATATATAAAATGCAACAAAAAATTGTTGTACCTCTTGCCATCAATAAACAACACCTTGTCTTCTTTAGAGCAAGCCATGCTGAACAACAACGTTCACGCTTTCTCGGCTTGTAAAAAATAAATCGTTTTTTCAAATTAAAAAAATGAGAAAAAAGAAGAAAAGAAGAAACAAAAGGAAGATTAAACAAGTATTTATCATTAAATTATGGTTGTTGCCATCACTTGGCGTCACTCTAGTTAATTATAGCAAGATAATCATAAGTTAACCTCTATTTGTATTTAGCTAGCTCTAAAGATAATAACCGGTCAAATCATTCATCATTTCATCCTACACCCTCAAGTAAACAATATCTATTTTTATTTTTATTAACTAAAAAAAAAATTTTAATAATCTTTATTTTTTAAAATCCAGATTCATCATCATTCAATACACTATTGGTCGAAATAATAATTCTAACCCTAGAATATCTAGAACCAAAAGAGTTGTGTAGGATTTCTGAAACCTGCAAGAAATTAAAAGCAATAATTGATAGATTTTTGTGGAGAAGTCTTTTCTTGAGAGAAGGTTTCGAATTAGATTCTGAAGATAAAGTTTTATTAAATAATAAGATGATATTTTGTAAACATTACATCATGAGACACAATTGGAATAATCGTTGCTAACACCATAAATCTTTCAAATGCAACTATCACATTTCAACGGGTTTGGTAGTTGATATGGACAGGATAATCGTTGCATTTGATAGTAATTGTATAAATATCTACAATATTACAATGTGCAAACTAACAAAAAAATTAGGACATAAAAATTTTGTCACATGCATAGGATATTTTGAAAACATCTTGATATCAGGATCTTTGGACAAAAAATTTGTATATGGGACATATCAAAAGGAATATGCCCACACGAATTCGTTGGCCACACAAAAGCTGTTAGTTGTCTTCAATTCATCACTCCGCATGTCAAAACTATAACAGAAAAATTCCATTCAAAAATAATCAATTTAGGTACTAAAGAACCACACATTCCTTTGATTATCACTGGTTCAAGAGTAAAGACTAGTGCTGTAAATTATGATGGTGGCAGTAATTATATTTACAGCATATAAAAAGTGACTGCAATTACCCTTGCAACCACTTTTGCAACCATACTTTTTCCTTTTTTGGATTACGACACTAGTCTTTATTCAAGAGACTCGATATTAAAAGTATGGTGTCTGCCTGACCTTGTGATTGATCCACCATATCATCCAAGTGTATCTTCTGTCAGTACTGATAATCCATATTATCTTCACACACTTCAAGGCCATAATAATGTCGTTTCTTGTTTAGCAGGTACAGGTAACATTTAAGTTAGTGGTAGTCATTATTGTAATGTGAGAGTTTGGAATGTCATGAGTGGTGAAAGTATTTGGTGTTTACAAGGGCATGAAAGAGAGATTTGTGATGTTGTATTGGATGTTAAACGAAATAGATGTATGAGTGGAAGCAGGGATGATATTGTTAAGATTTGGAATATAAAAGATGGAACAAGCATATCAACACCAAGAGTATGTATATATACATTTTAATTTGTAATAACAATCATTTATGACAAATAAATATATATTATTATAAATTACAAATTAGGATATTCTCCTTCACTTAGCTTTTCTAATGATTATCTTGTTTCAGTGGTAACTAAATCAAGTCTCCACATATTGAACCTTGATAATTATGCATTTAGGAAAATATCAGCCAAAGTGATAACATGTTTTTGTTAGTGATGTTAGCCGGCTAAGAAATTTATCGGCTTAGCCGGCTTAGCCGGCTTACACGGCTCAGCCGGCTAAGAAATTTTTAAACGGCTTAGCCGGCTTGAGCCAATCAAATTCCATTCTCAAAAATAATAAAAAATATTCATTCATTTGTAATGCCGCCAAAAAAGGAAAAGAAAACTAATGCACAAAATAAGCAATTAATTAGTTCCAACACTCATAGCAAAGCAAATTCTTGGTCTGGTGGGTCATTGCATAACAATATTAACAATGGGTTAAATAGCAGTAGTAATATTAATAGTATTAGTAGTGGTAGTAGCAATATTAATAATTGTATTAGTAGCAGTAGTAGTAATAATCGCAGCAATGATAATAATAGTAGTAATGATAATAATAGTATTAATAATAATGAAACATTTGATTATGATAAGTTAAATAGCAATAGTATTTGTAGTAATAATAATATTAATATACTGTTTTTGAGAGAAAATTATAAACTTTTTGATCAATAAGTTGATTAATTTTTTTAATTTTTATATTAATTAATTTTTTATTATGTTTTAATTGAATTTTTCAATAAGAATAGAATAAATAATTCATTTGATCAAATGTTAGCTGGCTAGAATTTTTTACCATATTCATCAGCGTGAAAATGAATTTCTATATTAATACTAAAAATTTTGGAAACAAAATTCTAATTGTCCAATTTAAATTTCACGCACAACGTTTAGTAAAATAATAAAAAACCCCGATTTTTAATGAATTCATACAAAGTATTAGTATGTTATTTGTCTACTAAATTATTAGATAAAAAATTTATTCAAGTTCTTAGCCGGCTAAGCCGTTTATTACCTAATTTGGTAATTTTATTTCCATAACCAGAAGATAACGCAGAAATCTATTACCAAATTTAGAAATTATGTATGCAGATTATTAGCCGGCTTAGCCGGCTAAGGTTTTTCTACCAGCTAACATCACTACAATCTGGGTGCTTGATTGTTCGTGAAGTCTCCTACTTTTTGTCATTTTTGCTTGCATGTGAATTGGTCCAATTATCAACAAAGTCTATTAAGCACAGATACTCAGGACTTCTGTTTTATATTGCTTGTAGGTAAGCAAATGGTCATCACCAATAAAGCATTTTTGGAAAATTCAAGATGAAAGACAAAATATTGTGATGAGAAACAAGTTGATTGAAGATAAAACCAATTTACAAGAGGAAAAGGCAAGGATGAAAGTTCAGGAATTGCAGGTATTTTACTATCCCCCAACAATCTAACATGATGGACAAAAATTCATTCTCGATTCATTCCTGTACACAGACAGCCCAGCATATGACCATTGCTATGGTGGCAACAGAACAAATTCAAGAATATGCCACGTCAACTACCACCAGCATTGCAGAGAGATTCCTTGATAATAGCAACAAAGGAACATCAAAATGTATCAGAACTTACAAGGTAATAACTTTCATTGATTTTATTGTTGCTAGTCTAACAAAATTTTAATTGATTACCCTTGCAATACAAACAGGATAGTAATGATGACGATGTTAACGAAGATAATTTTTTTTGGGTACCAGATGAAAAATCATCTGCTGATAATCCTTTTTTGATCAAGATCCAATAATGAATTCGAAATAGTAACAGTGTCAGGGTATTTAGACGTGGTATGGTGATTTTTTCTAAAGCTTTTAATTGTTGAAAATGTGCAAAATGAAGAAAATGAAGCAAAAATACTGTTTCACTCGCCACGAAATTATAATGAAGTTGCAATTTTTCTTACTCCAAACAAACGACAGATGAATAATGGGAGATTGTTCAGTATCTTGATGCCATGAGGAAATTATTGAAATATGATCAAGTTGTAGTTCAGAGACCACCTGTGTGGACGGAATCTTTAAATACTTATATTGATAATGTTTTGAAGGTGGGTTTTCGCAACATCAATTAAGAAGCCAATAAATTTTTAGCATCTTTGCTACCATGTTATAGAAACGGGAAATAATTTTAAGTCAGAAATAATGCAAAAAATTGATGGTGATGAATACAACATGTTTCGCCTTTATTGTGAGAAGATATTAATAGACTTAAGTTTTTTCCCATTTATTGTTGTTCTTTAGATGATTTGATACTTAACACTGTTTCCTGACTCTAGCTACAATATGGTCGATAGATATATTTCCAAATTTTTCAAGAAAAATTGGAGAACGAAAGTATATCGTTCAAAACATTTCTTCTTTGTTCAAATTTTATGAAGTCACGTTTGGTAATATGTGTTTTGATTGGATCGAATCGCATTCACCAGCATCAAAATTAACGAAAACACTTACAAACTCTGGTATTGTTAAGGTCGATATAAGAGGTAAGCAATAGTATATGATTATAATTGCAAATGACTATTCAAAACTTCTTCCTTAATTATTCCAACAATCCTAAAAGGTGTCCGGTTATTTGATGATAAAGAAATTTTTCACGTAGAAGCACCTTCCTACATATAAAAGTTTTCAAGAAACATTCTAAGCCCTTTAATATTTTGATACAATAATCTGAGATTTACTTTATACATACATTCAAAAGTTGGAACAAGTGAGAATAGACAGGCACAAAATGCTAAGGTTGTAGTTAGACAAATCACGGGATACTTGTCAGATAAAGAATTGAAATATGAATAATCACAACATATGAGAGAACATGGTTGTTAAAACAGGATAATGGCGATCCAGGAGATTTATACGTACATAAAAAGAATAAAGTTTGTAATACCAAAACATAGTATTTTATTATTTGTTAAACATTGTCAACTGACGATTTTTTACCATTTTTGCACCTACAAGAATTTCTCTGCTTCATTCGCAGATTGTCAATTAAATCAATTATTTTTAATTATCTATGTAATTGCTTATTGCAATTTTTTCTCTTTAAAAATAAAATTTTTAATTACCTTCAATATACATACACTTTTAGAAAATGGACAAAAAATCAGGAATCTTCATGGACCAAGATATAAATGACTATTACTATTATGAAGATTTTGATAATATAATATTAACATTATTTTCTAACATGAGCTGTTGTGCTTTTATAAGCTATTTTGATATAGACATTATTCATTATGAATGTGGCCAGCCAGCTTTATTTGTCCGTCATTTACAATATTTATTTGTTTGAATTAATAAGTCACGTTATTCTGAGTCGATTCTTCCTTTTAAGGAAACATTGACACAGAATTTCTCATATAGATGTAAAACATGTGGGAGCCAGTTAGTGTTGGTTTCCAAAACTAGAGAGTTTCGCAACCGTGCAAAAGTCAAAAGGTTTCGCCATAAGTCAAAACTAGTTTTGATTTTTGACTATTGACTTTTGATTTAGTTTTGACATATAAATTTTAATTTTAGTTTTGACTTTTGTCTCTTCGAAATAGTTTTGGCAACCAACACTAGAGCCAGTTCGCAGTTCCATGTCCGGTTCGGTTTAGAACTGGTTCCATAGTGAAACCGCTCCATCCCTATTCATCATAGCTTTGCATTGATGTTCTTTTATTGGTTATGATTTTTCTTTCCTCTTGGTAGATTTCATAAGTAATCTTTTCTTTTCTTAGATAAGCTTCCAGCATTTGAGTATCATTTATTTTAAAAATGTAAGGAGTAATTTTTTCACCTTGTTCTTTCTTCAAAATACTTCTAATGGTGCTATGATTTTTAGGTTCCATAGTAGATCTGATGTAAATTAGCTTCATATTAATTATTTTTATATAGGGATAGTTCTATATATCACTTAACAAATGGAATATTATAAAACTAATTGTGATGATAATAACTAAATTTTGATCCCTGAAATTTTTGGTAATATATACCAATGTTCATTTTGTCTGATTTTGTTGCAGCATGCCCATATACAAAAATTATTGGATCATACATTACTGAAAATAGTAAATATTATCTCTCAAGATTTACAAAAATTACGTGAACCGACTTATAAAGGGTCCATTTATTATTTTCCGGTTGGAGGGGTTGTCCGACTTGCAAGCTTAACAAGAATTTATATATGTATCCGACTTATCAAGAAGTTTTTAATATTAAATATAAAAAAAGAGCTGGAAATTTTTGTCCGAGTTGATTTGTCGTGTTTATCTGTGTATTAGTATTAATATACGGGTTTCTATTGAATAAACGAATAAAACGAGATAATACGAATAATACGAATAAACGAATAATACGAATAAACAAATAAACGAATAAAACGAATAATACGAATAATACGAACAATACGAATGATAATTCGTATTACTATTACGGATAGAAACTCTAATACTAATATTCGTTCAGAGAATCAAAATTAGCCAATCATGTTGATTAATAAGTTGTTAATAATAAAAATTACAAGCTCGAATATTTTTTTTTTCCCAATTTGTTTTAGCTATATACGTGTCGCGAGTATCTTCTTCTCCTAAATAGGAAAGATCACCGTGTTCCAAAATCTCATCTTTGATAGTAAAATCGTGCGACTAAGGATTTTTTTTTATTAATAAAATTGAAAAAAGATCTAAAGATTGCAAAAATAAAAAGATTTTTTGAAGCACACGATTTTTTTTGATGGTCTGCACCATAATATATACATTATTGAAGTGTCAATGCTGGTAGACTAATTTACTAAATTTGAACCCTGTAATCCAATGTGACACAATGTTCATTTTTGTATGGTTTTGTTGCGGTAATGCTCATATATTACATATTATTATGATATTCGCGTGCTAATATAATATATATAACGTGTATATGTAGCATTTATCGTCAAGATATATTGTCATCGGAGGAGGGTTTCTCCAAAGATATCTGTCAAAAGGTTGATTTTTCTTGATATGCAATTTTATTATTATCCGATTATTTATTATTATTATAATCTCTTTTAATGTTGTACGAATGATAAGAAAAAATTTTTTCAATTTTTAATTTAATTTAATTAATTTTTAACGCTAATTAAAAATAATAAAATGTTATCAGAAAAAATTAAAGAGACGAATTGGTCTGCCATTAAAAATGCGCCTTTTCCTGCTGAAGGAGTGGGTAACCAAAGTTACAACAATTATCATTTAGTCGGCGGAATGATTGGTTTACCCTTGTTTTTCGTTTATTCTTTTGGTTTGGGCTTCTGGTCTTTTATTATTTTTCTCCTTCCTTTGGGACTTGTGGTTTTTGTAGGATATTTTTTTGGCACTTCAAAATACTCTTCACCATGGAAGAATAAAGTTAACCTTCCAGGAAAAAATGTTGAAGAGTATATCAAGATAAAGGACGCATCATTATCAATATACTCTGGCAGAAAAAAGATTCCAATGGAACTTTTTTTTGAGAATTATTTTGATAATAAAATCGATCTTTGTGGTGATGCGCTTGAAATCCTCGAAGCAAGACATGATTGGGCATCGTTTGAATTTGGTTTGATTCAAGCTAAATTTTTTATATCTCAATGGATTCCTGAAACTATAGTTCATTCCAAAAAACAAGATGAAGATCAAGTCAGAGATCATTATGATCGTGGTGATGATTTTTACGCTGCATTTTTAGGTCCAACTATGATTTATACATCCGGGATCATATCTGATGCTACTAAAAACGAAACTTTAGAAGAAATACAAGAGAACAAGCTCAAATTAGTTTGCGAAAGAATGAAGTTTAAGAAGGGTGAACGACACTTGGATATTGGTTGTGGTTGGGGTACGCTTGTAGCTTATGCATCAAAAAATTATGAAACTAACTCAACTGGTATTACACTTGGACGTAACCAAACAGCCTTTGGTAATAATAGAATCAAAGAATATGGGGTTAGCCAAGAACAAGCAAGTATTCACTGTATGGATTATCGTGATATACCTCCTACTCCAAAATATAATAAAATCACATGTCTTGAAATGGCAGAACATGTTGGCGTTAGGCTTTTTTCCACATTTTTGGAACAAGTCAGAGACATGCTTGAAGATGATGGTTTATTCTTTTTACAAATTGCAGGTCTCAGACGGTATATAAATTCATAATATATAACAAAAATAAAATGTAATGTTTGAATTTATTTCTAGTTTATAATCAATTTCAATTTCAGTGCATGGCAATACGAAGACTTGATATGGGGATTGTTTATGGCTAAGTATATTTTCCCTGGAGCAGATGCCTCTTGTCCTTTAGCCTGGGTGATTAATCAATTGGAATGTGCAGGATTTGAGGTTTATAGTGTAGACACAATTGGTGTTCATTATTCTGGTACTATTTGGCGTTGGTATCAGAACTGGTTAAAAAATAAAGATACTATCATTGCAAAATATGGAATAAGGTAAATTAATAATAATAATAATAATAAATAGTAATAATAATAATAATAATAATATATTTTTATAATAATGGAAACTAAAATATTATCGTTTATTGTTTTTAATTATTAGATGGTATCGGTAAGTTTTTATATTTTTTTTATATTTTGATTCCTATTTATAATATACACATACGTTGTATTTATATATATATGTTTCTTTAGTATTTGGGAAATTTTCTTGGCTTGGTCAACTATCATTTCTCGTCAAGGCAGTGCCACCTGTTATCAAATAATCGCTCACAAGAATTTGAATGCCTTTGATCGCGCAAGTTTAATCACTGACAGACTTTTATCTTAAATATCTTTCCCATATACTATTTTTCATGTATATTTCTTTGTATATGGTCATTTCTTTTTTTTTTTGATATATATGTATGTATATTTATATATATTTATGTACAGTACTTACTATAATATATCTTGATGATCATTAATTTAATTGACAAGTTGTGGTAGTGTGGGCCAATAAAAATTGTAAAATTTCAAAGAAATTCATCATCATCACACTCTAGTGATTGATTCATCGTAATCCTAGTGAAGGAATTCCCTTGTCACTTTTAAACTTCAAAATTAAAAACTTGCACCTAAACTTCTCTTATGAGGTCATTCTACATACCAAATATTGACTAGCCTGTATTTTTCAAACCAGACACTAAAGATGGCACAAGAACGGTTTTTATTTTATTATTAAAATTAATGTGTATTTACTATTACGCGTAGTTTACCTTAAAGCCGAAAATCGAAAAATATCAAGTTAACACAACTCGTGTGCATGTAAAAGTTTCAATATTGACTCGCCTATGTACGTTTCAAACTCGGGCACTAAAGACAATTTAGATTTCATGACATGTAGTTTTGCTGTAAGAAATATTAATAGTTTAATTCGTAAAAAAGAAGAAATTTTTTCTAAAACTTGTTGCTTGAAACTAGTGAATGTTAACAACGTAATTTGCTTCAGGCTAGGTAGGACTAACGTTGGTTAATTAGTGAGTGTTAACAAAGTATTGTCTAAAGGTCAATTGAAAATACTGACAGTGTTATTGTAATCGAAAGCGAGTTATTTTATTGGTTTATTACATTGATTAACACTATGTATATCAAATTGGACTGGTTTGAATATTTCCGTGTTTTCCGATTTTCTTTTCGTAAACCATTTTCGATTTATTTCCAAGGTAACTCTTTTAAATTATACAGAACTCATATGGTATATATATTTGAATTAGATTCGAACCAAATCAAACCAAACTATTTCATAGCAAATCAATGCACAATTCATATTTCAATTTGAATGAAACAAATCAAAAATTAGGTGATTTGAATTTCATTGATTCATTAGAACCTTACTCTCAATACTAATAATAATAACAGAGAATTGATTCATCACCCTGAATTTTAGACATTACAAATAGCAACTTTTTCTGATGTTAACAATTCACGTTTTAAATAGTTTATTTGATATAAATGTAAAATTCTTTTTATCAATTTTAAATTTGACCATAAAATAAAAATATAAAATAAAAATATAAATATAAGGTATAATTAATAAATGCATCATAAATCCTTTTCCTTTATTATAGGCAAGTAATAAATGATCTTATTAGTAATAATTAATGGGTAGTATTTTTCCAATTAATTAGCAATGAAATTTTTATTCACCTTATCAAATCAACATTTAGAGAAAAGAGTTGACTTCAAAATTTAATGAGCTATCATTACTTGTATAGCTTTTAATTTAGTAATTTCATCATCCAATATTCTGCTTGTATGGTATGCATCTGGATGTGATTTGTGTATTTGTTGTGAATCACTACTATTACTACCAGTAGTAGTATTATTAAACGTTTCTCCGTGTTTATTTTTAGCAAAAATAAGAAGTTCTCCAATAGTTGGCCTTTTAGATGGATCCACTTCTCCATCATTTGTGCATAATCAGCAGGCGTTCCTGGTAATATTGGTGGTCGTAAACCTTCATATATATCACAAATTAAATTACAATTGTGAGCTCTATCATCAAATGGTGGATGGCCTGCAAATATTTCCCACATTAACATTCCAACACTATAAATATCAGTTTCTTTTGTGTTTTTTTATTAATTTTGTCTCTAGTAGCTCAGGTGCAGTGTATGATATAATTCCATAGATTTTATTTCATCAACTGATCCACATAATCCTAAATCAGTAATATAACAAGCACCTCCATATAATAATATATTATCACTATGTAAATCACAATGGATTAAATCTTTTTCATGGATGAAATATAACGCATTACATAAATGTATAAAGATTGCAATTCTGTTTTTTAATGTTAAATTTAAATGATTTTTTTGTAAGTAACTCCTTAAATTTCCTTCTGGATGATAATTTAAAACAATTACATAATTTCCATTATCTGGGAATTTAGTTATACCATAGCAAGAAACAATTGAGCTGATTTAATTTTACAATAATTCATTGCCTGAAAATAAATATAAATATTAGTATTATATAATACAGTATTGTATATTTTTTGTTTAAATGACACTACCAACCTCATCAAAAAAGGCTTTTCCTGGATTACTTGAATTATTTAAACCTTTTAATACTACATATTGAGCACCAAAATGATGAAATTCTTTTTTATTTTCATCATAATCATTATTCTTCCTTTTGTCCATATAATTGTATACATCACGATTATTAATTACATTCAATTTCTTACAAAGCATATTTTCTTTTACAGCAGCATTGTTAGTTTTTGCAACCAATCAATGCTCACAGCCTCCAATCTTTTATACTCTTCCAAAACTGCCCTGGAAATTTTTTAATTGAGAATAATCAAAATCAAGGATTTGCAGTTTTTCCAATGAGGGGGCTCGACTCATTGCAACATACACTTGTCCTTCAATAAACATACTTTCATCAGCATTCAATGTTACATGTGGCAAGGTCAATCCTTAAGTTTTATGAACAGTCAGAGCAAGTGTATTCTCAAGAGGAAATTGATTCCTTCTCGTTATCATCATATTTTACAGTATTAAAAAAGTTTTTGTTATCTGAATGTTTCATATTTTCACCTTCTGTACGTTGGCATTTATATGAATTGCCAGCTGGATTCTTCTTATCTTCAGTTTCAAAACCTGTTTGATGTAATATTCAATAAAGGCAAAATAATAGTAATGCACTGTAAAAAATTAAACTATGCTATATATACATAATCACTGTTTCAACTCACTAGATCCTTTTTTTATCTGTGTCTTGAATGACCATTTATCCCCAATATTGCCAATGTTTACACCTTTGCAAGAAACAAGTTGTATGTAGTTTGTTCCCACATTAATATTCTTTTCTTTAAGAGTTTCACCAACACTGGACCATAAAATATCAATATTACTTCCTGATTTACATTGATTCTTATTCTTGGTACAAAAAAAATTGAGAAAATAAAGAGAAAAAAATGTGATTAACATATTTAAAATGCTTTTGGCATACTAAAACAATACTATTAATGTATCAACCATAACGATCTAAAAGATCATCAGAAGGACAACTAAAAGTTGTGTCTTCCTTGTTATGGATGCCACAACCACAACGATCTAAAAGATGATCAGAAGGATAACTAAAAGTCATGTCTTCCTTGTTGTGGACAGCCACAGTCAACTAAAAGTTTACTGCAGAGGGCATTCCCTACAGAAAGATAGTACTTGCCTGACAATTGACTAAAAGTTCGTTAGCTTTCCAGATTTTTGGGAGATCTGAGCTTCAATTGATTATCGCATGTAGACTTTTATGAAATGCGTCCGTGGCCTTGCTATAAATTAATTGTTCAGGATCATTTTTGTGAGTCTCAATCCAATTTTTGTGAACTGAAAAGCAGACCAGTTTTTAACTGGAGTATCATCGAAATAACTATTCCATAGATTCATAGTAAAGTGTTTTCAAGAGAGTATATATGTCTATAATAATTAAGGGGTATATTGATGTGCAAAAACATCCCAAAATATCCAATTTACATTTTGATAAAAACTGATTCCACGTGATTCTTGCTCTGTCATGGAATATCGGGGTGTAACATGCCTATGTAGATCAAAATTATATATTTTTTTATCAGAAAAATACTATCACTATCAGTCGCAGGACATTGCGGATCTACAGGGGGTCAAGTGTCACTCACTAATAAAATTTTTTTGATCAACACGGAATTTTATATGAAAAAATGAAGAAAAAAATCATGCTTTCATACACAAACTTGCCTGATTTAATCAAATTGTTACTTGAATCATAAAAAATAACAAATATATGAAAAAACCTTTATTTTGATGTATTTTGCCAGGGTAAACAAATACCACTAAGCAATAATCTTAACATGAAGTTGGACTACCAGTTCTATAAGGTTCTATAATAATAATAAATTAAGAAACTGGATAACATGCACAATTTCACTTTGGGCTTAATTTTTTTCATAATAATAAATGCAATAGTTAAGTTCTAATTTCCAACCTTTAAATGTTTATTTTTTTAAATTACAATGATTTGTTTATAGAAAAGTATTAACTTCAAATTTGCTTTTAAAGATTATTTTCATAATAATAATAAACATTTTACCTAATAATATTAATATATTAATATACATTGCTGGATGAAATATAAGATTGTATCAAATAAAATTTATTTGATATTTTCAAACAAAACCAAATTCGCATAACAGACTCTTTTCAAGAATGGTATTAATAAAATGGAATTAATTTGGTTTTTTAATATTTTTAAAGGTTAGCTTCATTAATTTTTATTTCATCTATTTTTTATATATATTTAGAAGTGTAATGATTAAATTAAAAAGTATTTATTTATTAATGCATTACAAGGATCTGATGGGGATGTTATTAATATGTAATATATATAGGTTAAAGAAAAGAAAATTTTGTTAATGATTATTAATATTTTATTTATTATAGATGCTGGTCGCAATTCTTGGTGATGGTTGCAACCATATTTGCGACATATAAAAATGGTTTGCGACACCTGGTTGCAACCACTTTGCGACCACTTTGGTTCCCTTTTTTGGATTGCGACATGGAACACTATTATTTATACATTTATATATTAATGTAAATAAATAACATATGTAAAATTTTGAGTTAAAATCATATCAATTGACCAGAAGATGACAATTATTTCAAGATTACAAGCACTGATGTTACTGCTATTATTAAAAGGTATGTGTGATTATATTAATATATTTATTTCTTTTTCCAAAGGTTGCAAAGGTTGAACGATCTGACGATCTGACAGTGTACAATCCATTACATAATCATATTTTTTTTATTATTAATTATTTATTAATATATTTATTTCTTTTTCCAAAGGTTGCAAAGGTTGAATGATCTGACAATCTGACAGTGTACAATCCATTATGTGATCATGTTTTTTTATTATTTATTAATATATTTATTTCTTTTCCAAAGGTTGCAAAAGTTGAACGATCTGACAATCTGACAGTGTACAATGCATTACGTGACCTTTTTTAATTATTAGATCATTTGGAATAAATTAAATATTAACAAAATATATTTATAATAATAATTTTATTTTTTTTATTACCAACTTGTATCCATGGCATTATGATTATTGCCACTACCACCATCATTACCACCACCACTACCACCATTACTATCACTACCACTACTATCATTACCACCACTAACACCATTATTACTGGACCCGGACACTTTACCGACACCCACTTTACTGAAAAGACACTTTATCAACAGGACACTTCACCAACAGGACACTTCACCAACAGGACACTTCACCAACAGGACACTTTACCAACAGGACACTTCACTGACAGGACACTTCACCGACATGACACTTTACCAACAAGATATTTTACCAACAGGACTTTACCAACAGGACACTTTACCAACAGGACACTTTACCAACAAGCATTGTGTTAACAATTTGCCAAGGACTGTGTGAAGACCTGGATAACTAGCTAAAAGTTTGGTTTTTTACAGACAAGTTAAATTAACTGTTAATTAACTAATAACATAACTTATTATCCATACTTTGGATCAAAAACCAGATACATGCGCAATATTTTTTTTTTGTCTAAAAAAATTGATATTCATTGTTTTTATTAAATTTATTTATTATATTTAATTGATTTTACAAAAAAATTTTTATTGTGATACATTGATTAATTATTATTATTATACACAAAATTTTTTTTAAAAACAAAAAAAAATTTTAAAATGAAATATTATGGGCAATGCACTGAAGAAACTCCATAGTTGATCTAATGTTACAGTTGTTACAGTTGTTATGGTCATTCAATACTGTTTGAATCTGTATTTCGTGGTTACGATCTTGTAGTTTCTGTGGAGGTCATGGTGTTCCTTGCAAGACCATTTCCATGTCAAGTTTGACTTTACTTTGTTCCTTTTGCATCTCTTTTATTATTTCAAAAAGACCTACATGGTCACGACCTACTAATACCTCCCATCTTCTATGCCAAGCTTCTACAGAATTTGTAGTGCGAGGAAGAGCATATTCAACATTGTTAGCAACTGACCAGAGGTATGGTGGAAACATTGGTGTATCTTGAACAATAGTTCCATTTCTAAATGCATGTCTTGCCCTGCCATGCACATAATTATCTTCAAACCACTATACAACTCCAACAGCTTCTGCTGGAATCTCATCTTTTAGCCGATCAAATGCTGCAGGGATGTCAGCAGGATTCAAAAAAGCAAGCACTGGAATTTGTCGAATCACTAGACTGAAATTTTCATCAGTCCCATATTGAATAGCAAGACCTGTAGCTTGTATTTTGCGATAGACACTTTGAGCTAAGTGAAAAAGACATCCTTATTTTGAGCACTTGGAAATTTTATACACAAAGCATTAATTGCAGCTTGTTCAAAATCTGTTAGAATGAATCGTGGTTGTAGGTGGATATCCTGCTCATTACTGAAGTCAATTAAATCTTGAAATAGTCTTTTGTAGCATTCTTGAGACTTGCTAGACATTAATTCATAAACAAGAGGCATGATCCGTGAATTTTCATCACCCCCAACACATGCATGGATAGTGTATAATTGTCTAAATAGAGTTAGAACTGTTTTGAAAGTGCCATCCATAATCCAAAGACAAGATTGTTCCAGATTACGAATGTTGGTAACAGTTGTAAAAAGCAGAATTCTATTTTCACCTATTGTAGAATCCTTAACTAAAAAGTTTACTCCATCTAAAGTCACCTTCATGTTTTCAGGAATAGTAATATCCTCTATAGACTCTGGCTCTGAAGGGAAATCAGTATTACGAATTCATCTGATTGATTTATGAAGTGCTTCATTTGATGGAAGGGATGTATATACTTCTTGAGAATTAGCAGTATTAGAAATTGTGCTTTGGATAATTTGTGAGGGTAGGTCATCAGCCTCTCTAGCCTTTCCTTTTATTGTATTAATGGTCTTTATGGTCCCAAATCGACTAGCTTCTGGAGCATGATTATGGTCAGAAGTATCTTGAAGATAATGTTGCTCCCTATCCAATATAGTAGTTGCTCGACCATTGCATTTTAGGGCACTATGCTTCTCACAACACCAGTAAAATTTATTATCACGATTTTTGTCTTTAACCATAAGGTAACCATTAACATTAATTTTGATTCCACCACAAAGAGAAGGAACAATTTCACAGATAGTGTTGTCCATTTAAAAAATGTTAAGAGGTTAAGAGAATAAAAATAAATAGAGTGTTATGTGATAATGCAATAAGTGTGTTTTTCAAGTCATTGCAAATTATGGCTATAATTATATATCTTTTTGGTTCTTTAAAACCCATCTTTGTACTAAGTAGGTTTTTGCCAAATTCCTTTATATTACAAATTAAAAATTTTGGAAATAACAAACACATTTCTTAAATAAGATGTATTGTATACTCTTTCCAAGTAGCAAGTGATTGGTAACAATAATTTATTGTTGATTTTAAATTTTTAAAATCCATCTTTGTTCAAAGTAGGTTTTTGCCAAATTCCTTTATATTATAAATTAAAAATTTTGGAAATAACAAACACATTTCTTAAATAAGATGTATTGTATACTCTTTCTGAATAACAAGTGATCGTAACAATAATTAATTGTTGATTTAAAAATTCTTAAACCCCATCTTTGTTCAAAGTAGGTTTTGCCAAATTCCTTTATTAAATATGTAGTTAAGATATATCATGTATATTCATAGTTTCAAATTTGGACTAGCAGGTGATCAGTAACAATAATTAATTGTTGATTTTAAAATTTAAATACTAACCAAAATTATCAAATAAATAATGCATGTAAAAAAACAAACAAATTTAGCATGCTCCATAAACTTGTTTTTAAAAAAAATAAAACAATATAGAAAGTATAATAATAAAATTTTTTGTAAGTTTTAAAAGTATAGAAGCCATTTTTTTATCCTGCCTTTTAAAAAATAGCTCTATTAATTGATAGAGTAGGTCTTTAGTCTTAATGTAATAGAATGATTTTCTCAAAAAATTTATTTGTTATTGAGTTCTATTCTTTTTTAGTATATGTATTTTACTATTACTATGTTCGCGAGGAATTTGTGCGCTATGATCATTTCCAAATTTGGGAAGATTATCGAAGATCACTCCAAATTTGGAAATGATCATAGCGGATCTATCTAAACATGGCAGGAAGAATATAGTTAGAATTCAAAACATCCTTCGTGAATTGATTTTTACAATGTAAATAAAGACATATACATAATTATATGATTTATCAGATACACTCACCTCCCAAAAGTCATGGACCACTTTTTTGAAAACCAATTAAAATTTTATCAATTTATTAACTACATGTGAAATTTTTACAGTATATTCCTGAATCATTTGTTTATGTTTG